TTCATAAGAATATCTGTGGTTCAGACTTCATCATGGACCCTAGAGGCGATAAGAGAATGAAAAAAAGAGTGTGTGTGTAATTACACAAAAATCACTCAAAGTGGTTACTGCTCAGTACTGTTCTCTACTTAATGATATCTTACTAGGTAAGCAGAGTTTGTATTACTAAAAACACAAACCACAGAATGAAGGAATGTTATTATTTTTCTTTTGTCATTTTTGGGTGAAAAAAGTAAAAGTAGAGGTGACTTTTCTGAGGTCCGGAACAAATTGTAATTTTTCCATATAAGAAATAATGAAAATACGTTTGTTTTTTACGGTCTATGAATTTTTGCTACACGGAAGGGTTTCTGGGAAGGAGTTACAGGTGGAAGAAGAGGTACAGCTGTTCGCTCCTGCGTATTCCTCACCCCTTCAGCTCTTCATCCATCAGTCCCTGGAAAGCTGCTGCAGCCCCTGTGATCCAGAAGGCCTGACCTTCAACTGTGTCCTGAGCCCCTTTCCTCGGGGAAAGAGAGCTCTGGGCGAGGTGACAGGGGCTAAGTGTTTAGATTGCTCAGTCAGTGCTGCCTGCCAGTATTCTTCACAGAGGTCCAGTGTGCGGATATGTGCGGCTTTTCCCAGCCTCTCCCGCACTGGGAAAGTGTCAAACTGGGATATTTTATCAAGTGAGGTAAAGTCCACACAGAACCTTAAACTCCCGTCTGTCTTTGTCCCACAGCTCCGGGACTGGACCGTTCACTCACGAGCGGTCTGTCATGTCCAGTGTTCACAAGGTCTCTCCTTCTTGTCTCACACCTGTACTAGATGCACCGGAGCCCTGCGTGTTACGGAATATTAATGAGGACCAGGTGCAGAAAAGTCAGGACAAACTCCAGAGGCGCAGTCGATTAAACATACCGAGGTCCGGAAATCGAAGGTAAACAAACCGGTGCAAAAGTACAAAATCAGGAAGCGGAGCAGTAAACGGTGAGGAAGCCGAGAGTCGAAGCCAGTACAATAATCAAAGTACCAAACCAAAACCAGGAGACGTAGTTGGAGAACAAACCAGGGTCAGGAAGCCAAAAACCAAGACGTAACTAATCGCAGAAAGACGGGGTGGCTCTAGCCAGGAAAAACCCTAATACTGAGCACAGGGGAGAGTGTGAGGCAGCCTTAAACAGGCTGGGGGAAATGGGCTAACTGGGAACCGTGCTGGAATGCGAGGTGGAATGACGAGTCCTCCGGGG